CGCCCCCTGCTGGTCAGCACAGAGAAGTAGAGTCATTTCCTCATAGACGTCTATGGGAGCAGAGGAAGCGCCCCCTGCTGGTCACTACAGAGAAGTAGAGTTATTTTCTCATAGACGTCTATGAGAGCAGAGGAGTCGCCCCCTGCTGGTCACTACAGAGAAGTAGAGTCATTTCCTCATAGACGTCTATGGGAGCAGAGGAGTCGCCCCCTGCTGGTCACTACAGAGAAGTAGAGTCATTTCCTCATAGACGTCTATGGGAGCAGAGGAGTCGCCCCCTGCTGGTCACTACAGAGAAGTAGAGTCATTTCCTCATAGACGTCTATGGGAGCAGAGGAGTCGCCCCCTGCTGGTCACTACAGAGAAGTAGAGTTGTTTCCTCATAGACGTCTATGGGAGCAGAGGAGTCGCCCCCTGCTGGTCACTACAGAGAAGTAGAGTCATTTCCTCATAGACGTCTATGGGAGCAGAGGAGTCGCCCCCTGCTGGTCACTACAGAGAAGTAGAGTCATTTCCTCATAGACGTCTATGGGAGCAGAGGAGTCGCCCCCTGCTGGTCACTGCAGAGAAGTAGAGTCATTTCCTCATAGACGTCTATGGGAGCAGAGGAGTCGCCCCCTGCTGGTCACTACAGAGAAGTAGAGTCATTTCCTCATAGACGTCTATGGGAGCAGAGGAGTCGCCCCCTGCTGGTCACTACAGAGAATGCAGCTTTAACACGTGAAGCTTTGGATCCGCTGCAGAACCAGAAGTTTCAACCTCTGCATTATACACAACATTTCAACTAAAGACACTCGCTTAGCTCAACTTTGCCCCCCTGACGGGACGCATCCTCAGGTGACCAGATGACTTTGACGTGTGTGCATGAGGAGCATTAATTTGTATTCACGCGGACGGCGGACACCTCTTCTGATGCACTGGTTCTCGTTTCCTCATCACATTCCCATTGATGCAGCATTTGCTCCACAGTCCGCCCCCCGGAGGAGAGAGAGAGAGAGAGAGAGAGAGAGAGGGGGGAGAGAGAGGGGGGGAGAGAGAGGGAGAGCGCGCGCTCCTCCTCCGTCTCCTCGTCACTCATCCCGGATCAGGCTCGTGAGCGGGTCCGCGCGGAGTTCTCTGGAATGGAACCGGATTTATTCCCGCTGTGGTTCGTCCGTCTCCGGTGCTCCGGCTCCTTCGCCGCGACAGCGGGCGTGTCTGCTGCGCGCTGCATTACTTCTCCTCCCCTGGTTTAAATATATATATTTATATATATATATATATTTTTGTATATGCACTGGTTTTGTACCAAACCCGTCCAACTTGTTACTGAGCCGCTCGCGGACAGCGTCGGGCTTTCCGTCTTTTTGAACGGAAGGAGGATTCTGAACCGGTGAGTTCGCGGCTGTTTTAACGCTCTGGCTTCTCGCGCGTTGACGCTTGGCAGCAGATATAAAGGTTACAGGAAGAACCGCTGCTCACAGCTGGAGGCAACCGAGTCACGTGACCCGAATAACTGAGCATCAGAGAAGCGCGCGGCGGAGCTCAACAGGTTCTGGACCTCGCGCAGGAGAACCTGTATTCTAGTTCACTTCACCTGGTGAGGAGATGGAGTCACGTGACGCTCAGTCTGTGTCCAGCTGTGAAGTGAGGGTTCCATTAAGGAAATGAGTTGTGCCACATCTGCAACATCCACTTAATTCCTCTTGCCCTGCTGACCTTGATAACCTCAGTGACTCCTCCCCCTTCAGATGGTGAACGAGCTGAGGTCAGGCCGCTTGTGAAGGCGCTGGATTAGCCCCACCCCCCCCCGCCCCGAAGCCCCGAGCCGGACGCAGCATGGCGGCGGGAGTAGCGGCGTGGCTTCCCTTCGCCCGGGCGGCGGCCATCGGCTGGATGCCCGTGGCCAACCTGCCCATGCCGGTGGCGCCCGCCGGCAAGAACAAGCGGCAGGACGAGATGATCATCCTCAACGTGAGCGGCCGGCGCTTCGAGACCTGGAGGAACACGCTGGACCGCTACCCGGACACGCTGCTGGGCAGCTCGGAGAAGGAGTTCTTCTACAACGAGGAGACCAAAGAGTACTTCTTCGACCGCGACCCCGACGTCTTCCGCAGCGTGCTCAACTTCTACCGCACGGGGAAGCTGCACTACCCGCGCTACGAGTGCATCTCCTCCTACGACGAGGAGCTGGCCTTCTTCGGCATCATCTCGGAGATCATCGGCGACTGCTGCTACGAAGAGTACAAGGACAGGAAGCGGGAGAACGCCGAGCGGCTGATGGACGACCAGGAGGACAACAAGGACGCCAAGCCGCCCAACATGACCTGCAGGGAGACCATGTGGCGGGCCTTCGAGAACCCGCACACCTCCACCATGGCGCTGGTCTTCTACTACGTCACGGGCTTCTTCATCGCCGTCTCCGTCATCACCAACGTGGTGGAGACGGTGCCCTGCGGCACCTCGCCCAACCAGAAGGAGGTGCCGTGCGGCGAGCGCTACACCGTGGCCTTCTTCTGCATGGACACGGCCTGCGTGATGATCTTCACCGTGGAGTACCTGATGCGCCTCTTCGCCGCGCCCAGCCGCTACCGCTTCATGCGCTCGGTGATGAGCATCATCGACGTGGTGGCCATCCTGCCGTACTACATCGGCCTGGTGATGACCGACAACGAGGACGTGAGCGGCGCCTTCGTCACGCTGCGCGTCTTCCGCGTCTTCCGCATCTTCAAGTTCTCGCGCCACTCGCAGGGCCTGCGGATCCTGGGCTACACGCTGAAGAGCTGCGCCTCGGAGCTGGGCTTCCTGCTCTTCAGCCTCACCATGGCCATCATCATCTTCGCCACCGTCATGTTCTACGCCGAGAAGGGCTCCAGCTCCAGCAAGTTCACCAGCATCCCCGCCTCCTTCTGGTACACCATCGTCACCATGACGACGCTGGGGTAAGAGCAGAGCGGACGCCTCCCTTCGATGCAGTTGTGTGTGTGTGTGTGTGTCACTGCGTGTGCGCGTGGGTGAACACGTGTGAGCGAGCGGTGGATCCGTGTCCGATAAGAGAAGCGCTCCGCGGACTCGGGACGGACGCCTCAGCGTCCCGGGGGGCTTTGCGTCCTGGTGGCGGAGGTGCTCTTCAGAAGGGAAGACGTTGTGCCCTTCACACATGGGCGATGACAGGGGGGGAGGCAGACGAGGGGGAGGGAGACGGGGGGGAGGGAGGAGGTGGAGGAGGTGGAGGTGAGTCGTCCTGAGGGCTCTGATGCAGAAGGTGGAAAGTTATTTTAGCGTCTCTTCACGTCTGCAAACAGTTGCTTTCATTAAAACCTTCTAACTGCCGAACGACGTCCTGCGTTACCACGAGGAGCGGCGGCGCTAAAAACGGCTCTTTTCTTCTTCGTGGGCTGTGGTGCAGTGCTCTCTGAGCACGACAACACGGCGAGCAGAACGACACGGATCCCAGATCCAGTTCAGGTCTAAACACCTGTTGACGTTCTCTTTCTCTTCTGGACACATTCATATATATATATATATATATATATATATATATATATATATATATATATACATATATAATAGTGTAGTTCTACTCCAGCTCCACTAATGGTTTTTGCAGTGTTATGTATACACATATACATGTGTCTGAAGGATCCAACGGGTCACATGGTTCTGCGCACGCGGCCCTGGTGTTTGTGCGCCTCAGACGGCGCTGACGGGTCGCAGCATCCCGCTGACTGTCGGAGGACGCCAAGCGGCGGCCGGGCTCGCCGCCACGGCCCACTTGGCACGCCGTCGCTGTACGGGCGGCTCAAAAAAGGTCCCGGCGCCGAGCGGTTGGTGGAAGGCGGAGCCAACCCATTGTTTGTTCGTCTGACCCGAGACGCCACAGAAGGGCCTCCAGAGAGTGTGTGTGTGTGGTGTGTGGTGTGTGTGTGTGTGTGTGGTGTGTGTGTGTGTGTGTGTGGTGTGGTGTGTGTGTGTGTGTGTGTGGTGTGTGTGTGTGAGTGTGTGTGAGTGTGTGTGTGTGTGTGTGTGAGTGTGTGTGAGTGTGTGTGTGAGTTTGGCCTCATCAATAAAGCAGGGGCCCAGAAGTGTGTGTCAGGGTGACGGACGATGTTGCGCTGCATCTGCTGACTAATGTAAACCCTCCTGACATTCTGGTCTCCAGGTTTACGTCACACACACACACACACACACACACACACACACACACGTGCTCAGTGAGGAGCGTTCTGCTCTGATTCTCAGATCATCGGTTTAACTTCTAACTGGTGAGCTTCAGATTTTAAGTGACTTTTTGAGTGCATGTGTGTGTGTTAACGCACACACATGCACTCAGCAACGAGGCGGCATCGTGCATAATGCGGCATAATTGTTTACATTACAGTGAAGTGATGTCATTGCTGTGGGATCATTAATTTACTCCACAAAGTGACGACAGCCACAGTGAATATGTGCAAACCGCTGTTGACGACGCGACATTGAGATCAACAAATCTGTACGAGAGCAAGTTAGCGTTAGCCGTGCAGCGCTAACAGCTGTTATCTGAAATACACGTGAGAGATGAATTATGACCACATTAGCTTTGTTTGTTTTTTCGCACACTGGTATTGGATCAGAAAACCACAGCCACAGAAAGTAAAAATGGTAAAAGTGGTCAAACTATCTCAAGTTCAGCTCTGATCACGTAAATATTTTTGTCAGAGCAACAATTGTCGACCTGCCACATTATTGACATCGTCTCTGATTTTGTCCGACATGCCTCCAATGTTGCTCCGCCCACTGCGGCCTTTTGTTTTGTCCATCTAAATAATCCGTCCTTGTTCAGAATCCCTAATCCCCCGCCCCCTAACTCCCCCCTACCCCCCCCCCCCCTTAAACTCCCCCCCGGACAACAATTGCTCTCAGGTGAAGAGCTTTCTCTTATCTCACATAGGGATGAAGATCCAGGACAGACACCTAATCGTGAAATAAGTTAGTATTAATAATTATTATTTCATTATTATTGTTTATATTAATAACGCATTATGATTCCTGATAATAATATTATCATTGATTAGCTGCTGTATTAGTCCTCAGAGCCGAGCTGAAAGGCTTAAATCCAAATCCCCAAAACGAGGAGCGCCGAGGTTTACCTCACTCACCCGTTTGGGGAGGGGGGGCTGCCGGGGATTTGCCTCCCCAGGATGTTAAACAAATTGATTTTGACCTTTTCGGTGGTAATGACTTTGTGGTATCTGGTTGAACTGCGTGGACGGAGGAGGAAGCGCAGGCCTTCGTCTTCACTCAAACACAAAGGGACGGCAGAAAACAATGGAGGACAACAGTCCTAATCCCAGTCCAGCAGTCTGTAACAAGACTTTTCCTGTTGTTTGGGTTTATTCATCATCATCTCCTTTATTTCTTTACGTTTAGCACTGGAATCAGAGGGCTTTAATGGGGGCGAGTTAAACGGCGGTAAGTCGCAAACGTTATCCGCGCCGAAGCTCTTCAGCGGAGGCAAATTTATGGGCACTTTAAAATCTTTACATATTACATAAATGTGCAATGCGAAATCACACACATTAAAATGCTTCTTCACCAAGCAATTTCTTCCATAAAGATACATTTATAAGAGTATAATGTAATTAAAGAAGTTTGTTTTTAGTTGCATTTATCTAATAATCTAAAATGCCCTAAAGCGTCCCCTCGTCCCCTTTATCGTCTGTTTGACTCTAAATGGACCATAATCTACTAAATGAACATCATGTTGTGTTGAAGAAGACTTGAAACTAGAGACTGAGACCATAAACTCATGTTTACAATGTTTACTGAGGGAATAAATCCAGAGAGAAGTAGAGTCATTTTCTCATAGACGTCTATGGGAGCAGAGGAGTCGCCCCCTGCTGGTCACTACAGAGAAGTAGAGTCATTTCCTCATAGACGTCTATGGGAGCAGAGGAGTCGCCCCCTGCTGGTCACTACAGAGAAGTAGAGTCATTTCCTCATAGACGTCTATGGGAGCAGAGGAGTCGCCCCCTGCTGGTCACTACAGAGAAGTAGAGTCATTTCCTCATAGACGTCTATGGGAGCAGAGGAGTCGCCCCCTGCTGGTCACTACAGAGAAGTAGAGTCATTTCCTCATAGACGTCTATGGGAGCAGAGGAGTCTCCCCCTGCTGGTCACTACAGGGAAGTAGAGTCATTTCCTCATAGACGTCTATGGGAGCAGAGGAGTCGCCCCCTGCTGGTCACTACAGAGAAGTAGAGTCATTTCCTCATAGACGTCTATGGGAGCAGAGGAGTCGCCCCCTGCTGGTCACTACAGAGAAGTAGAGTCATTTCCTCATAGACGTCTATGGGAGCAGAGGAGTCTCCCCCTGCTGCTCACTACACAGAATGCAGCTCTAAGACGTGAAGCACTTTGTTGTCTCTTATTCGGGGTGTTAAACATATACAATAGTTTATAGTGCACATGTTAAAAAGCTAAGCACTCGAAACCGTCTCTGTTTCTCTCTCACAAGTCTTTGTTATGCATAACAAAGCCCATCAGCTGTTCTATATGCACCAGTGAGCTTTTGCAGACTCATTAGTCCGTTCCATCTGATGAGGGATGCAGTGTTTGCCCGTGGTTGTACTTATTAGCATAGCCATGCCTGAGTATAATTAATATCCTTATCAAAGACCCGGCTCCTTTGGATCAGTGCCCCTCAAAGATCCATGCAGCGCTGCCGGACGCCGACCAACTCGGCGTGTGTGTGTGGTTCTCTCTCAGGCCTCATCGTCAGCGAGCTCGGGTCTGTGCGGCGTTTTACTCAGGAGCCGACTATCAATCGGGGGGCCGTGGCGGCGGGGGGGGGGGGCTGCGGCCATCGTGAGCGCTGATAGTTAGGACGTCCCACATTCAGCGGGCGCGGTGGTTCCGTTGGTTACCGTCTCTGGAGATAAGAACAAGATGGCCGCCGTGGGATTCCGCTTCAGGGTCTTTATGGTCACTTCAGGACGCTTCATAGTCTTTATGGTCACTTCAGGACGCTTCATGGTCTTTATGGTCACTTCATGGTCTTTACAGTCACTTCAGGACGCTTTGTGGTCTTTATGGTCACTTCATGGTCTTTACGGTCACTTCAGGACGCTTTGTGGTCTTTATGGTCACTTCATGGTCTTTGTGGTCACTTCAGGACGCTTCATGGTCTTTATGGTCACTTCATGGTCTTTACAGTCACTTCAGGACGCTTTGTGGTCTTTATGGTCACTTCATGGTCTTTACGGTCACTTCAGGACGCTTTGTGGTCTTTATGGTCGCTTCATGGTCTTTGTGGTTACTTCATGGTCTTTACAGTCACTTCAGGACGCTTTGTGGTCTTTATGGTCACTTCATGGTCTTTACGGTCACTTCAGGACGCTTTGTGGTCTTTATGGTCACTTCATGGTCTTTGTGGTCACTTCAGGACGCTTCAGGGTCTTTATGGTCACGTCATGGTCTTTACAGTCACTTCAGGATGCTTCATGGTCATTATGGTCACTTCATGGTCTTTACAGTCACTTCAGGACGCTTTATGGTCTTTATGGTCACGTCATGGTCGTTATGGTCACTTCAGGACGCTTCATAGTCTTTATGGTCACTTCATGGTCTTTACAGTCACTTCAGGATGCTTCATGGTCTTTATGGTCACTTCATGGTCTTTATGGTCACTTCAGGACGCTTCGTGGTCTTTATAGTCACTTCATAGTCTTTATAGTCACTTGAGGGCGCTTCATGGTCTTTATAGTCACTTGAGGGCGCTTCATGGTCTTTATGGTCACTTCATGGTCTTTATAGTCACTTGAGGGTGCTTCATGGTCTTTATGGTCACTTCATGGTCTTTATAGTCACTTGAGGGTGCTTCATGGTCTTTATGGTCACTTCATGGTCTTTATAGTCACTTGAGGGTGCTTCATGGTCTTTATGGTCACTTCATGGTCTTTATAGTCACTTGAGGGTGCTTCATGGTCTTTATGGTCACTTCATAGTCTTTGTAGTCACTTCAGGGCACTTCATGGTCTTCATCATAATGTGTGTATTTCATACCGAGGGATTGAGAGGACGTGACGGAGCGGAGGTCACGGTGACCTCGACCTTTGACCTCCTAAATCTCATTAGTTCTAGTTCTATTCTTCTATTTCTGTTCCAGGTTTCAGGGAGAACACATTTTCTTGACGAGAAAAGAACATGACAAAGAAAACAAAAACAGCCGTGCTTTTCATTTAGTTTACGATGAAGTCTCTTCTATGCTTTTCTTACTTGAGCCTCGTTGTTCCGTCTGTGCGACGGGGGGAGGAATCGCTCTCCGTTGCTCCTCTTTTCTCCCTTTAAAACGGGGGTTGGGGGGGATGTTTCAGGACATTTACCGGATGATGAGTCCTGCTGAGAGAACATGGATGTTCCCTCCAGGCCTTCCTCAGAAACATAACCCCCTCCGGACACACAGCTGTCACCGGGGTCTAAAAACAAGTAAATAAACACATTTACATAACGAGGAAGCCAAAGTCTTTTTTCACTTTCGGGCCCGATGATGTTTTGCCGTCGTTATGTTCTGCCTGTTATTGATGAATGGATCCACCGATCAATTTGATCACAGCGAAAGTGAATCATTTTATATAACTGATCAGCAGCTGCTGATACTAATTATTGGTCATTGATGATCCATATGTGCAGAAACAGACCCTACATACAAATCTCTTCCTTATTATTTGAAATGTGCTTAGAGCTCATATTCGGAAGTCAATCGTAATCAATCTCTAAATCTATTTTACATTCATGAGAAAACCTCTGAATTAATGAATCACTAAAGCTACATTTTACAGATGACCTGACAGGGTAATGAATGAACCTCCGCTGGTTCGCTGCTAGCGGTTAGCTGCTAACGCTAGCGGCTCCTCCTGCTGTTGATCTAAACCCTGATTGGTTGTTTAAAATGTCACGTGATCGGCTCCGAGCTGAACGCGCGGAGCAGCTTCCCTCAAAGACACGGCCGTCCTCAAACGGCAGCTCAGGAAGGACGCCGACGGGGTGTTGATGTTTCCACCTGACGCCATGTTGGGGTGGGAGGGGGGGGTCATGTGCTACACAGCGACGGGCCGAGACAATCCATGGGGAAAGTATGATTAATAAGAGCATTCTTCATTGCTGGGATCCAGTTGGCAATGAATCACATTTCCTTAATAATAAAGTGAGAATCACGGTTTGTGCATTTAATAAAATATTTAGGTTTTAAGGTAATTGTATGAAGGGGTTGAGGTCAGAGAGCGATGTCTGACAAAGCGATTCCTTAATGTCTTCGCTAGGTGGAGATGAATCATTCATGAGGGGGGAAGGAGTTATCGCCTCGCGTTTGGAGGGATCTGCTCGTGGGTTTGATCACACACTGACAGTTCAGTCGCAGCGTTTTTTTGGCAGATTCTCTCATCCAGAGCAACTTCTTCTGAGACCACGGATGAGCCGAGCGCTTCGGGAACAACGTGTGCCGAGCTGAGCAGATTCCAGGTCATTCTTCTCTGCTGTTAAATGGTTTCCTTTTGAGTGTAAAACGCAGCGCGACCAACCGACTGAGAGCTGGAACCTGTCGGCGTCGGGAGGCGTGTGGAACGCCTCGTCGGGTTCAGATCTTGACCAATGGGTTCATCGGCTTGATGAACAGTACCAAACAGAAATCAGAAGGATAACGCGTGGATTGTCGAGGTAATCCCGTTGGCGTGTAATATGTGACGGGCTGCAGAGACCAGATTAAAGAAAGAAAAGACGACCTTTGGCCTAAAGACGGTTTCCAATCGCCAGCGACCTGCAGCCGACCCCGGTGACCTCTGTGACGTTTCAGAGGAAATAAGCACAAGGAGACGATGTCTTTCCTCACCTCCTTTCCACTTTATTCCAGAACCAAAAGTCCTGGTGACTCAAGGGAAATGTCCCCCCCCTCCTCCTCCTCCTCCTCCTCCGGTTGTGTTCTGCAGATTTATATCCGTTTACTGGATTAACAATTCCAAAATTGATTCTCAAGCTAATGAGGATGAGACGCTTCGTTGGGAGATCGAACAAAACTTCTTCTCTCATTCATCGAATTCACGACCTCTGACCCTCCCGGCGTTGTATTCCCGCCTAAACTCTCATCTATTGTGGTAGTTAGCCACCACAACCCCCCCCCGGCCCACTGCAATCAAGGGGTCCGGGGTGATCGGAGTCTTCAGATTCCACGATTCCATCGATTATGAGCTCTACTTCCTTTATTCATTCAACGACTCACATGTTTCCTTCCAGCCTCCGCTCTCTGTTTCAAACCCCCCCCACTGGGCGATGCCTCACGTGGCTGGTCGTGATGCAGCGGGGCCTCGACTCGGCACCAGAGGCTGAAGTGTTACGCTCATTACAGACCGATATGTAGGCCGAGTTATGGAAATAAATCGCCCCTCCCCGGAGAGAAAGTGATAAACGCCGTCTCACTGACTCGGATTCCTCCGCCCAACAGGTGGACCTCATTGTTCCCATTCTTTCCTTCTTTTTTGTGCGCTCTCACTTTGCAGTGTGTGTGTGTGTGTGTGTGTGCGTGTAAACTGTGTTCTGTGCTGATTAACCAGGGTGACAAAAGCAATTGTTCTGCTACACTAAATCTGTGGGGATTAATGCTCGTCTCTGGAGCCGCTGCCTCTGTTTCAGTGTGTGTGTCTGTGTGTGTTACATTCCTCTCCTCCACCCTTCCAGGCGGCGGGTGGTGGTGGTGGTGGTGGTGCAGGGGGGGGGGGGGTTAGTGGATTCTTGTCATGACGTCTGATTTCCCGGCGGTTTATACAAAAAGCATTCCGGCGGTTAAACATGGCGTCTGACTACTTTCCCTTTGGTGTCCGGCCACAAAGCCCCTTTTCTTTCTATTTATCCAGATGTCTTTTGAGGATTACGCCTGCTGAGGGACTAAACCTGTCGTGGGCCATCTGACGCGCGAGCACTGGGAAGAGCATAAAAGTCAAGTCATGGACTAACACCCTTAATAGATGTCAGTAAGCCTTTTTTCCCTTCAAGGGCGGCAACGTCAATTCCATCTCCAGGCTCCGCTTTGAGAAACCCGACGTCTTCCTCGCGGCCCCGTGAGGCCGGGTTCACACGATAACGTCTGCATTATGGTGTTAACCGCGTTCACGCTGCATCAACGCCGCATTGATGACTTGATCTGCAGCAAAGGACTCCAGAGAAGACCTGAGGACATCTGCGCATCTGTCAGACACTGAACGGGCTCGAACAGAACACAAGGGTTCCACTGCAGCCAATATCAGAACCACGTTTCAGTTGGATGCTGGAAGCTTGGATGTAACATCCATCGGTAGCTGTTGCGTCGTGTTGCGGGATGTGAGTCGGCGTCTGTTGAAGGGTTGTGAACTGCAGCATTAAGAAGCTAATGTTTCCTCTCCGTGACGTCGCTTCTCTTTCACACTCGGAGAAGCTCCGTTACAATTAATTAATCTCCACGCTCCACAGCCGCCGCTATTGTAGACGCACAGTGGGGGCGTGTTTGTAAGCTGAAAGCGAGAAACTTATCTGCTGTTCATTATTAACGTGAGGCCGGGGCGACGCAGGCGGAGGGCGTGGAGCCGCTGGCCTCAGGACGGACGCCATTTAATGAGAGGAAGGAAGAAGCACGTCTCATCAGGAGCAACATGAACATCGTCACGTGGCGATGAAGGCGCGTACGAGGCCTCTCTACTTCCTCTCAGCTAGCAGCTAGCAGCTTGAGCGGCCGGCCGGCTGTGCAAACAGAGCCAGAAGAAGCTCCGACCACAAGCTGCTTCCTTTTTTTACTCGTCCGGCTGCGAGCCGACAGACGTAAGAACCAAGACGAGCCACCAGGTTTGTCTGAGAGAACAACTCGTGAGCAGAGGAACGTTTTCTTATTCATAGAACACGTGTATCCTCGCGGCGCCCCCTTAGCTGGCCTAGCATTAGCAGCCGCGCCGCTAACGGGCAGGTACCGATCAAACGAACGTCGTGGTGAGACGCTCCTGTGGACCAGAATCACCCCCGCCCTTCTCCTGCCCCCCCAACCCCCCCCCTCTTACCCAATCACACATCTGGGCTTTACCCACACAATAAAAAAGGTTGTGGTTAAAAATAACCCAATTTGGGTTGTTTTATAACTATTGCACCAACCTAGCAGTAGTTAGTTTGACCCGGCACGATGGGTTGGCCATTTTAACCCAACAGATGAGTTAAATATTCAACCCAAATGCTCAAATTTACTACAATTCTGGGTTCATTCAACTACACACTATTTGTTGTCTATAAAACTACAAACCTGTAACAAAATACATGCTAGATCTGTTCATGCAAAGGACATATCACAATTAACACTTGACAATATTGTAATTCTAAAATGAATACATCATAAAATATCCACAATATAAAATGAATTGTAAGATTTAATCACTATCAACAAAATGGGGCTGCAACTAATGATTATTTCCATTATCGATTAATCTGTCAATTATGTAAATGATTAATCAATTAGTTGTTGTGTATAAAATGTCAAATGTTGAAAAACCACAAGATGACATCCTCAAATCTCTTGTGTCCACAAAGAGACACTCAGTTTATTATCATGACAAAACAAGTAACAACTAACCGGTTTAACATGTTTACTAACCAGCGGCCCTTGAGCCTCTACTTGCAAGCAAGTAATCGACTTTGGAGGAACTTTACTAACTTGGAACCCGCTCCTGGCATTTTATAAACAGCAGCCTGCAGGAATTCCCACACATGTTCCCATTGCTTCGGGTATTTGATGTCCATCACAAAGAACGCCTCTAAGCAGACATCGATGGCCTGAAGCGGCGTGTCGTGTACCAGAGCCTGTCCAGCAATGATGACGAAGGCCTGGATGCTTGATGCTTGTCGTGTCAGGACATACGGGTGAGTCTGGATGCCTTGGCCTCATGAAGGTACTCGACCATGTTCCTTCCAGGCTAAAAAAGAAGATAAAATAAGATGGAGCTGTATTTTGATGAATACAAGCAGGATAAAACGTTCTTACCGTGGCAGCTCCTGATCCAAAAAGGGAGTGTTCTTGTGTCACTGTGGGGTCAGACGTTGGTGGCTGTGTGGGGTTACCTACGCGCCTTTGCAGGGGTTTTTGCAGACTTCTGTGGTTCAAAACAATACATCAACCGATGTATGTTGGCTCGATGAATTTTGACTCAGCGCACGAGTTGCACAAAAATAACCCAACCCCGCTATAAATGACCCATAATGGGTAGAACGTGTCATAACTCAGCGTTTGGGTAGATGAAATAACCCAGCAGTTTTTAGTGTGCAGAGATTCAAGAAAAGAAAGAGATATAAAAGTGCACGTCTGAGTCTCTGGGTGTCTTTTCCGTGTCCCGTCGAGCAGCAGTCCTGCACTCGGCTCTGCGCTCCAGTCTCCAGCCGTGAGGTCATCGCTGTGTGTTCTGCACACGATGCATGCTGGGAAACAGTAACGCATTCAGAGCCACGCTCAGTGGACGAGCAGACTGATACCGAGGATGAAAAGACCCGGCCAAAGGCTTTTAAGAATTCACAGATGGCCGCTGTCGAGGGCGCCGCCGCTCGGCCGGGCTGCTGATTGGTCCTCACGTGTCCACGGCAACTGAGCAGTATGCAACCACGCATCGCTTGCTTTATGCTGTTCACGCCATGCGCAGCTCCGCTCGCTTCACCTTGCGCTGCGTGCGCGCTCGCCGCATTGTGTGATGAATTCGTCTTACATCTATCAACACTCCGCTTCTCTTTTATTCTCACTCGTTGTCCCGTAACCTTTGACCCATAACCTCACGTTTGTCTTCGTAGACAGTAGCTGTTGTTGAAGGCTATTGTGTCGTCGTTGCTCTTTGATTTTTTGGTTATAAGCTTCTGATCATCGAGGGTGTATTTTTAATGCCGTGTAACAATGTGCTTAAAGTTCTCATCTTGCAGTCAGGTCCATCCTGAGCGCATCACTCCGTTGGTTAGCGTTAGCGGTGCTGCTAACGAAGAAGAAGCCATTTTTACACATTACAGGAAATGGTTCTCTGCCTTTTACCCCCCACACAGTGGGAGCAGCGTGGTGCAGTAAAGGCGCCCGGGGAGCCGGCGGGGGGTCGGGTGTCCTTGCTCAGGGACACTTGGACATGGGACATGGAGCAGCCGGGGTTCAAACTGCCAACCCTGGCGTTCCCGCTGCATTTCAATCATCACGATTTCACACGGGATGTATGAGAAGAAAACGTTATTGACAGCGTGACGGTTAACGTCAAAGTGTTTCATTAGTCGGAGGGTCACATGCGTGTCAAGCTTTAGCCGTCTCTGTTTGACGGCGTCTGCGTGACGCCCCCCCGTCTAGAAAGACTCGGGACGAGCGGGACAAGAGTCGGTCTCCGCCGGCGACAGATGCAATTACGGTTAGAACCAGTCAGAGGAGGTGCAATTCATCAGGCCAGTTATGAGTTACGATCAGATGAGCGGCGAGTGGAGGCCCGTGACAGCGCGGGCGGATTGATGAGGACGCCACGTAATCCAATAAGCGACCGTTGCCACGGCGCCTCAGCCTCACAAACAGGCGGAGAGAGAGGGAGAGAAATGCTAATTCGGAGGCGGTTGATCTGATTTCCTCAGCGGTGCGTTGCAGGAACCTCCCGCATCCGTTGCCGTGGCGATGAGTGCTGGTATCGCTCCACGATTCGGTGTTATTGATTGATTGCCACTTAATCCATTTACGGCGTGTGTGTGTGTGTGTGTGTGTGTGTGTGTGTGTTGGGGGGGTCGCTGCGTCTTTTCTTCCTTAGCCCATCAATCATTTTGGGATTAACGAGCGATTGAATGGTGATTCATGGAAATAATCCTGATTTGATTTCTTTGTGATATAATAATTTCTTTTTTTTAATATCGTCACATCCAATCCGCCCGGTCTTACAGCGGCTTTCCGCAGCGCGGCCCGCTGGCGGCGGGGGGGGGGGGGAGCAGATACGGCGGCCGACAGTTACCTTCGCTCGTCTATATTTGAGGATAAAGGACGTCGGCGGCTTCGTGGAGACGAACAGAAGCGGTGTGCTGCAGGTCTGAACGCCCGGCGGCACGTATCACACACGAGGGCTAAAAATAGAAAACCATCCACGCTCCCGCCGGCAGCCCCTCCCTCGCCGCCATCCACCTTCCATTATCTCCCTTCACACAGCGCCGCGCACAACACAACACGCACTTTGTCTGCATCCACAGACGAGGTGCGACCATTTTTTTTCTTCACATTTTTAAACTTGCGCCGCTCGGCTGTTTGTGTTTCCGTGGTAACCCGAGGCTGTACGTGGTGAAACACATCATTTATACCACACGCTCAGCGCTGCGGCGCGGAAGCCCAGAAGGAGACTCTCACTGGTTCCTGATCCTGAGAGGTGTCTCCATCCATCTGGCTGCGGTCTCTGTGTCTCGCGCTTCTTTCTGTGACTCGCACACGTGCATTTAAATAGGAAACCGCGCGCGCGTGTCCTTTCTCTTCTCTGGAGGCACTTTCAATGTACGTGGAATCACCAGGCACTTGGTGCACCAATGTGGGGGGGGGGGGGTTCCTGCCTTTTCAGGATGCAGCTGGATTCTAAATGAACCGACGTATGAACCGAACTCTTCTAGGCGGAAGTCAGCCCAGGTCTGAAATGTGATGGTCCGTGATGGTCCTGGGCCTCCTGCTGGCTTATTGTCTCTCATGTCTGTCTCCTCTGTGGTCTTTATAATGAAGTCGCCCCCTCCCCCCCCCAGGCTGCTCTGTGCCGAGTTCACATAATCAATAATGTCTCCTCGGCTGTCTTTGCATACGGGACGCTGTTGTTACGGCGGTTCGGTGCTTGTGTTTTCTCTGCACACAACGCGTTGAGCCACTACATGTTGCTGATGCCAGAATCCATATGCAGCATTTGAGAGGATGAAACGGGCGTCGAGGTTCCAGCGAGCGATAACGCCAGCGAAGCGTTTAAGAGGGAAAGTGCTAAACGTTGCTAACGGCTTAGCTTAGCCTTCTGTTAGCCGAGCTGTTGGAGAGATGAAGAGAGAGACGGGGTCGTTTTCAGTAACCGGAGTGGCTTCTAACCGCCTCGCTAGTCTGATATTTCACTGTGCTTTTTAACCAAGTTGTCTTTTATTTACTGAAAGAATGAAATTCCCCCCCCGCAGCTATTGTTTGTAAAGACGCAGAGTAATGGAGGCCGCCGGCGATAGAAGCGGCCGGAAAAAGTGACGTATACGCGCACATGAAAGATGCAGCGGCCGCTGACGGAGCGCCATTGTGGAGACACACCTCCAACCCCGAGCGTCCATCAGCGCTCCCGCCCCAATCGCCAAACTGTCCACCGCCGCCATCTATTATTCACCGGCACCGAGACACAGTCGCATGGACACGTTGATGAGACGATATTTGTGATTTCTTTGTGATTTCTGCACGGCGGCGATTAACAGCACGACGCACCAGTGGCGGCGGGTTAAAGGATCGTTAACGTAGTGAAGTCACTTCGCTGCGTGGCGGTTTCCACGGCGTTACACTGCACCTCCATCGGCCTCTTGCTCCTCCGTCACCACTCCCCGGCGGCGGATGTAATTAATGTCACACCGGTGATGTTGAGGGAGGAGAGCGGGGGGGGGGGGGGGGGATAATGTCCCGAAGCTGTGGGCCTTCCCCTCGCCACACGGAGCCCAAAACCGATCACTGATAATATTTACACGTTTCCGTCAAGCCACGCTGAGCTGAGCGGCGCCCGGCGATGGAGGCATGGGGCTCGAGGAACGAATCGTTTACCATAACTCGGAGTAATGGCGGTGTGATATTGGCAGCGTGGGTGGAGAGCTGCAGGTCAGGGGGGGGACGCCGTGGGTTTATTTGGGGCGTCTGGTTCTCCCTTCAAGAACCCCATTTCTTAATAATCATGGCTTCATGTTCTGTGTGGCGCCGCGGTAGAGAGGGAGCGCTGGGAACCGCAAGGTTGGTGGTTCGAGCCCCGGCTGCTCCGTGTTCTAGGTCCAAGTGTCCCCGAGCAAGGCACCTGACCCCTAATTGCCCCCTCGGGCAAAAATGTAAAAGCCGGGGGTTAAAAATGTAATGTATGTCGCTTTGGATGAAAGCGTCAGCTAAATGACCTGTAACGTGATGTTGCATCACATCTGGGGAGTCATTGCTGCATGCTAACGGATGCTGCATGCTAACGGACGCTGCATGCTAACGGACCGCTCAAGGTGGTGCTTTTTATTGACGCCCTGCTGACCACGGAGCATCAGAAGTGGACGTAGTTGACGCCGCCCACCGCTTAGCCGAATGATGCTATGAAGCCTCTGCATTTTGGACTTAGGGCCCTCCCTATTTTGACTTTGCGCGGCCCATGAACAGGAAGTGACCACATCTGGACTGATGGGGCGTGGAGACACGTATACATCTCTGGTAGACCTGTCCATCAGTGTGTAGCCCCCACCCCAAATTAACCCCGGCTTTATGGTCTGTTTGACTCCAAATGGACAAATAAGTCAAGGCCACGCCATCAGGGCGGTGCTCGTGAGGGGGGAGAACCCGGCTCTTGACTGCTGGGTTGCCATGACGAACTGGCAGACCCGCTGACAGAACGTCCCGTATTGACGAGGGCTGACTCCCCCCCCGCCTCCTTTCCCTGAGCGCCTGATGCCAGCGAAGCGGGTGGGAGGTGGAGAGAGAGAGAGAGAGAGAGAGAGAGATGCTATTTTGGGTATCCGGGTCGCCATCAGTATTGAAAGGACACAATGAGTGAGACGATAAGTGGACAGGAGACGACCGGAGGCAGAGATGAAGACAAATCTGCTGTTTTTAGAAACCTGATGAATGAATAACGGGATATTCGTCGTGCATTCGATGTGTGTTACAAATGTGTAAATTGTGTTTAACTGTTTTCTTTGTTTGACTCAAAAGCTTCTTCAGAGCCACTTTGTACTCAGAAGTACCAGCTGTATATACACACGTATATATGTGTACACGTATACGTGTATATACATGTATTGGACCTGAGTGTATCGCAGCTGGGCTCGGGGGGCTCGGGGGGCTCGGGGGGCTCTTGGCGGTTGCGGAGGCTCGTGTAAGTGAGCGGAGGCAGACGGCGGGCGGAGCAGTCCCGATCATGTAAAGGGAGTCAGACAGCGGTGGGGGAGGACGTGACGGGAGGGTCACACCTCAGATGTGTCATCTGTTACCACCCTGCGTCTCAGCGGGGGTCCCGTTTAACCGCAGCTTTAGTTCCCCCTCTAGAAGAAGGGGGGCTGACAGGAGAGCAGCACTGACAGCAGCCCCCCCCATTCCGCTTAATTTAAATGAAGTGGTGCTTCTGTGTTTTTAACTGTCCACTTTGAATTAAAACAGTTTATTTGAGAGCAAAGTTATCAGAGTGTTTTTATCACAAGTTAATGTGAACACAAAGGCTGCATTTGCCGTTGACTCAAATCTTGTGGGCGGGACCTACGCTTGAACGGCATGTTTCTATTGGCCGGTCCCGGCAAGAGCGACAGCTTGTTAACATATGCAGGACCTGCACATCTGTAAATCACACAGCTTCTTATCAAGCAAATGAATAAAATGACATTAATCAATGATTCAAAGTGATGTTATGATTTCACAAATGACGTTGACCTTTGTTTGATCAACAAGGCCACAGGTGTGTCCATGGCAACGGTAGAATGTTGTAGTTGACCAATCAGAATTGAGTTTTAAATAAAGAAGAGGATAATAAGAGAGGATGTTTCCAAATTAAGACTGGCCAATAGAAACATAGTATTCTGTGTGAGTTCCGCCCACAAGACTCAGCTGGTGTGAGAGGAATAAATGGGCACCGCTTAGTTAAAGTATAAATAATAATAATATTTATAGTACGACGTGAAGCTCAAGGTGTACGTTTCAAACAGTAACTACAAACAGAGAAGCTTAACTGTACACGTTCAATAAATAACACTCAGGCATTAGTAGATATTCTTAATATCACATGCAGGGGTCAGCGTGAGGCTTTTCTTAAACGCACCATCACTTTACACCCCTGCCCCCCCCCCGCCCCCCCCTATGGGCGGTCGGGGTGTGAAGGAAATGGAAACACTGAAATCTTTGCTTTTATTTTCCTCCCACGTCAACGAACAGCAGACATCTGATCTGAGAGGAACGAACAGTGTTCATGTGGGCAGGAGTCTTAGTCAGACTGAGTGGGAAGCTGCAGGTGTGTGTGTGTGTGTGTGTGTGTGTGTGTGTGTGTGTGTGTGTGAATGGGGGCAGTAGAGAAGAAGAAGAAGAAGAAGAAGAAGTCGTGGCGTCAGCACTTTGATCCGGTGGAAGTCAACAAAAGCACAAAGAAACGGATGATGAGGATGAAAGCCAAACAAAGACGAGGAGGCGGGATTGATCAGCTGTGTGCTGATTGATCAGCTGTGTGATTGATTGTAAATTCTGCGTCAGAGGGATGGGGGGGGGGGGGGGATGGAAGAAGGGATCAAGGGTGATTTCCCAGAAGGGATGTAGAGACGGATGGAGACGAGCCGGAGGATGGAGGCGGCGGAGGGAGGGCGAGAGGACTTTATTAAATGCTTTCACAGCTAGTGGCCTCGGGGGGAGCAGCTGGTATCTGGGCCTCACCCCCCCAGTCTGACCTCCGCAATGACAACTTCCAGCTAAATGTGAGCGAGTTCTCTATCTTTACTTTGAGATAATTTCCCACTGCCTTGAAGGAAATGACTCATTTGCTTTGAAAACCCGTCCCCCTCCCACCAGCATCCCGGAGGCGGTTAGCGTAGCTTAGCATGAAGCCCGGCTCTATCCAAGGGTTACAACCAGCCAACGCTTCATTTTGTTCGTTGCAGTATCCTTCGAAAGGCCGTACGGGAAAAAAAGGCGCCGCGGATTAAGAAGACAAGTGAGTTTAAGTAGAACACCGGCGCTGTTCTCTGGATTAGCCTGGTTAGCCGCAGGCTAAGCTGCAACATTAGCAACAGTTATCGCTCATATAGTGGATCACAGTTTATCACCGTAGACAAAACCCAGCGAGGACTTGCCGCGCTCCCACGGTGATGTCATCATCAGGTTGGACGTCTCAGCCTCTATTGGCTGAGATCGTCTGAGATCTGTCGGGGGCAGAAGGCGCAGTGGTCATTTGAGTCGCCTTGGCTCTGACTCCGCCGTGACAGATGGGCGCCAGGCCTCGCCGCGGCCCGCCAGGCCCGAACCACGAGACTTTTAGCAACAGGGGGGGGCGGAGCCGGAGGATTGGCTCGCCCCGGGAGGAGGTCGGAGCGAGGCGGGGGGAGGCCG